TCACCGTAACCTCCGCCTCCTGGGTTCAGGCAATTCTCCTGCCTCAACCTCCCGAGTAGCTGGGATTACAGGCACGCGCCATCATGCCCAGCTAATGTTTTGTATTTTTAGTGGAGACAGGGTTTCACCGTTTGACCAGGATGGTCTCGATCTCTTGACCTCGTGATCCACCCGCCTCGGCCTCCCAAAGTGCTGGGATTACAGGCGTGAGCCACCGCGCCCGGCTCACCTCACATTTTTGTATAGTTTACAAAGTCATCTCACTTACCTTATAAATTCATGTCTTAAACCTGGCCTCTGCATGCTGTATGCTACTACCACACTTTACTCTTTCCATCCTCCCCATGTGTCAGAACCTACCCATATTTGGGAACCCTTTCACGTTTTAAACTTTGTTCTTCAGGTATAGAATAAAGCCAGTAGGATAAAAGAAGAAAGGTTATTTATTTATTTGAAACAGGGTCTCACTGTCACCTAAGCTGGAGTACAATGGCACCATCATAGCCCACTGCGGACTTTGAATTCCTGGGCTTAAGAGATTCTACCACTTCAGCCTCTTGAGTAACCAGGACTACAAGTATGTGCCACCATGCCCCGCTGATTTTTAAATTTTTTTGTAGAGACGAGGTTTTGCTTTAACCCAGGCTGGTCTCAAACTCCTGGGTTCAAGCAATCTTCCTGCCTCAGCCTCCCAAAATGCTAGGATTATAGGTGTGAGCCATCGTACCTGGCTGAAAGTTTAGTTCTTTTTAGGTAGATCAGAGATTGTGTCTCTAAAAAGATGACATTTCACCTAATTCATATTCCAGCAGCAAAATCCATTGAGCTTATTGAATGTTATATTAAGCATTCTCACATACTTTATCTCATTCAGTTCAAACCACTCTGCAGCCTGCTGTCAGCCAGGCCTACTGCTGGGGACACAAACGTAAATCAAGACAAACATCACCTGGGCACAGTGGCTCACACCTGTAATCCCACCACTTTGGGAGGCTGAGGTGGGAGGATCACTTGAGACCAGGAGTTTGAGACCATACTGAGCAACATGGAAAAACCCTGTCTGTACTAAAAATCAAAAAAATTAGCTGAGTGTGGTGGTGCACACCTGTAGTCCCAGCTATTCTGGCAGAGGTCGACTGAGGGATTGCTTGATCCCTAAAGATGGAGGCTACAGTGATCCTGGGTGACAAAGCAAGACCCCCTCAAATAAAAAAATAAAAAATAAATAAAAAACAAGCATGTGTCTTTAAGCTTAGAGTCTCCCACAGGAGACAGACATAAACAGGCTAAACAGTGCAGTCTGGTCAGTGCTATTTATAATCTACGAACCTTACATATCATCATATCGCTACTCTAAACTTGTCTCTGTTAATGTTCTATAGACTCCCCACCCCCAAGATGTCAACCTCAGTCCCTCAAGGCCATACCTGGACCCGACCTGTGAAGAAAGAAGAGGAGGAGGAGGACCCGCTGGACCAGCTGATCTCCCGCTCTGGCTGTGCTGCCTCCCACTTTGCAGTGCAGGAGTGCATGGCCCAGCACCAGGACTGGCGGCAGTGCCAGCCACAGGTGCAGGCCTTCAAGGACTGCATGAATGCACAGCAGGCGAGGCGGCAAGAGGAACTGCAGAGGAGGAAAGAACAAGCCAGTGCCCACCACTGAGACCCCATACCACCTATCCCCAGTAGATGGCCCTGCCAAAACCAGCAACCAGAGAGATCATAAAGGAAGAAATTCTGAATGGTGGGTGTGGGAGGTGTAAAACATGCGGATAGTTTTTGGATCTGTAGTTGAGAGCAATGGGTTTGGACATGACTGCCACAAACAGCTATCATATATTCAGTGTCAGATCTCACACATCCTCAGCTGTCTTGTTCCACCAGTATTTGCCATGAAAACAAAGAATGGGATAAGGGATGCTCCCCCACCCCACATCTTGGGTCAGTGTACTGAGATGATTTTAGGGACATTTGTATTTTAAATTAAATTCATAATCTAATGGTAAATTGGTTACCTAATTAGTGCCTTTCTCTTTCATCACTTGTTCTGGATCAGTTTCAATCAGTTTAGGGGAAAGAAAAAAGCAAATGGGGAAACTTTTTATTCAAATAGAGTTTTGTTTTTTAGATGGAGTCTTGCTGTGTTGCCAGGCTGGATTGCAGTGTCACATTCTTGGCTTACTGTAACCTCTGCCTCCAGGGTTCAAGCAATTCTTCTGCCTCCACCTCCTGAGTAGATGAAACTACAAGGCACGCAACACCACACCCAGCTAATTTTTGAATTTTTAGTAGAGTTGGGGTTTCGCCATGTTGGCCAGGATAGTCTCAATCTCTTGACCTTGTGATCCGCCCACCTCTGCCTCCCAAAGTGTCGGGATTAAAAGTGTGAGCCCTGCACCCGGCCTGTTTTGTTTTTTGAGACAGGGCCTCTGTTGCCCAGGCTGGAGTGCAGTGGTACAATCATGACTCACTGCAGCCTCAGAGGGCTCAGGCCTTCCTCTCACCTCAGCCTCTCAAATAGCTAGAACAACAGGTGTGAGCATAACCACACACAGCTAATTATTCAAATTGAGTACCTATTAAATGCCAGATTCTGTTGAATTAACAGATAATGAATCTGGCCTCAACCTGCTTCCACCCCAACAAACACACAGAGTTGGGCTAACATTTTTAAAGTATATTTTCAGCTTTTGAAAAGTGGGAAAGCTGTCAACATTGACTTTTATTCCCTCTTAACAATTGGCTGGAGCTGAATAATAATTCCCCTTTGAGGAGGATGTGTTTTCCCATTCAAAACAGTTGCATATCACTTTTCATTTTTCTTCAACAAAACTACTCTTCCATTCTAGTCTATTCTTTTTTTTTTTTTTTTTGAGATAGAGTCTTGCTTTGTCACCCAGGCTGTAGTGCAGTGGCACAGTCTTGGCTCACTGCAACCTTGGCCTCCCTGGTTCAATCAATTCCCCTGCTTCAGCCTCCAAAGTAGCTGGGACTACAGGCAAGTGACACCACACCCGGCTAATTTTTATATTTTTAGTAGGGATGGGGTTTCACCATGTTGGCCAGGCTGGTCTTGAACTCCTGACTTCAAGCGATCTTCTTGCCTCAGCCTCCCAAAGTGCTGGGATTACAAGTGTGAGCCACCGCATCTGGCCAATAACAAATACTTCTTGAGCACTATTAGAAGCCCAAATCTGAGGTATAGGAGGCCTTAAAATTTACTTTGAGACTTCATGCCGGTATTTGGAAGAAGTAAAGAGAAAAAAGGGGAGAAAGTAGGAGTTTAAAGAATAATCCTATTTCAGGCCGAGGGGGATAACCAGGCAAATTATAATAAAAAGACAAATCGCCATGTGCCCTTGTGTACTCGATGCTGATTCATCAGAGTAAACAAGCAGTGTGCACTGGAGTTTTCAGCAAGAATCTCAGAGAAGAGAAGGGAATTAGTTGACGTGACCTTTTTTTTTTTTTTTTTTTTTTTTTGATATGGAGTCTCTGTCCCCCAGGCTGGAGTGTAGTAGCATGATCTTGGCTCACTGCAACCTCCGCCTCCCAGGTTCAGGCAGTTCCCTGCCTCAGCCTCCCCAGTAGTTGGGATTACGCCTGCTACCACAGCTGACTAATTTTTGTATTTTTAGTCGAGATGGGGTTTCACTATATTGGCCAGGCTGGTCTTAACTCCTGACCTCGAGATCTACCGGTCTTAGCCTCCTAAAGTGCTGGGATTGCAGGCATGAGCCACTGTGCTTGGCCAAGTTGAACTTTTAAAGATGAAGTAGGCCGGGCCTGATGGCTCACGCCTGTACTCTCAACATTAGGGAGGCCAGAGCAGATAGATCACTTGAGGTCAGGAGTTCAAGACCAACCTGGCCAACATGGCGAACCCCGTCTCTAGTAAAAATACAAAAAAATTAGATAGTCACAGTGGTGCATGCTGAGTGTAATCTCAGTTACTTGGGAGGCTGAGGCAGGATAATCTCTTGAACTTGGGAGGTGCAGATGGCAGTAAGCTGAGATCATACCACTGCACTCCAGCCTGGGTAATGGAGTGAGACTGTCTCAATAAATAAATAAATAATAAAGATGAAGTAGACATTATCTATTTATAAATTATAACAGAAAAGATTACCATCCAGAATAAAAAGTACCTGGAAGCCACTAAGAAGCACATAGTTTGATAGAAAAGTGAACAAATAGGCCAGGTGCAATGGCCGACGCCTATAATCCCAGAATTTTGGGAGGCCAAGGTGGATGGATCACTTGACGTCAGGAATTTGAGACCAGCCTGGCCAACATGGCGAAATCCCAGCTCTACTCAAAATACAAGAAAATTAGCCTGTAATCTCAGCTACTTGGAAGGCTGAGGCAGGAGAATTGCCTGAACCTGGGAGGTGGAGGTTGCAGTGAGCTGAGATCACGCCACTGCACTCCAGCCTGGGTGACAAGAGCAAGACTCATCTCGAAAAAAAAAAAAAAAAGGGAACAAATAAGCCGCAAAACATAGGAAACTGTAAATATGCTCTACATCATGGATAATCACAGAAATTTTTGTTTTTGGTAGAGATGAGGTCTCACTATGTTGCCCAGGATGGTCTCAAACACTTGGGCTCAAGTGAGCCTCCCACCTCACCCTCCCGAAGTGCTGGGATTACAGGTATGAGCCCCCTTGCCTGGCCAGAATTATTTTTTTATTTTTTTATTTTTTTATTTTTTTTTGAGACAGAGTTTCGCTCTTGTTACCCAGGCTGGAGTGCAATGGCGCGATCTCGGCTCACCGCAACCTCTGCCTCCTGGGTTCAGGCAATTCTCCTGCCTCAGCCTCCTGAGTAGCTGGGATTACAGGCACGCACCACCATGCCCAGCTCATTTTTTGTATTTTTAGTAGAGACGGGGTTTCACCATGTTGACCAGGATGGTCTCGATCTCTTGACCTCGTGATCCACCCGCCTCGGCCTCCCAAAGTGCTGGGATTACAGGCTTGAGCCACCGCGCCCGGCCCAGAATTATATTTTTATAAGACATATATACATTAGGTTTATTGCAGCATTGTTTGTAATAGTGAATAAACAGTCAATGTCAATTTCTATCAATGAGGAATTTGCTTGTGTATTGAAATCTTTTACAATAGGAATGTATGTATTTTCGTAATTTAAAATAGTAGGCTGGCCAGGTGCGGTGGCTCACGCCTGTAATCTCAGCACTTTGGGAGGCCAAGGTGGGCGGATCATGAGGTCAGGATGTCAAGACCATCCTGGCCATGGTGAAATCCCGTCTCTACTAAAATACAAAAAATTAGCCAGGCGTGGTGGCACATGCCTGTAGTCCCAGCTACTCTGGAGGCTGAGGCAGGAGAATCGCTTGAATCTGGGAGACAGAGGTTGTAGTGGAGATCGTACCACTGCACGCTAGCCTGGCGAAAGAGCAAGACTCTGTCTCAAAAAAAAAAAAAACAAAAAACTAGTAGGCTATGGACAGGGTGCAGTGGCTCACGCCTATAATACCAGCACTTTGGGAGGCCAAGGTGGGCAGATCATGAGATCAGGAGTTGGAGACTCCTAGCCTAGCCAACATGATGAAACCCCATCTCTACTACAAAAATTAGCCAGGCATGGTAGTACATGCCTGTAATCCCAGCTACTCAGGAGGCTGAGGCAGGAGAATCACTTGAACCTGGGAGGCAGAGGTTGCAGTGAGCCAAGATCGTACCATTGCAGTCTACCCTGGGCAATAGAGTGAAACTCTGTCTCAAAAAAAAAGGCTATGGAGGAGGGGTGATAGTAGCAGAGAGAAGCATAAAGGGCCTCTTTAGCAGGAAGGATGGCTTCCAAACCAGCTATGTGGAGCAAGCGTGTTTTGGAGGACACTGGCTCTAATAGGGAGTTAGCACAGGGTGGGTCACAGAATGTATTTGATCAGGCAAAGAGGACTGTTGCCATCCAAGCCTATTTCAAATGGGATAATTTCTGTGTCACAAGCTTACTAAGACAAATAAATGAGGGAATGAAACATACGTAGCTAATAATAAAAAGTGTTAAAAATTTATTGGGCATTGTGTCTAAACATTTTTTGTTTACCACAAAAAAAATTTTGGGGGGGGCATTTAACTCAGACAGTCTGGTTCCAGAGCCTCCTCTCAATCCCAATGATGTGCTGCCTTCAAATCCCAGTTATGCCACTTACTAGCTTTGTGACTCTGGACAAGTTACTTAACATCTTAGGATCTATTTTTACTTCTGTGAAAATGCAAATATAATACCTTCTTCACAAGCCTCAAAACCAATACAGGCCTTCCTCATAGGATTTTTGAAAGATTGAGTCATTGGTTTAGCTTAGAAATAGCATCTGGCACATAGTAAGTGTTCATTGAACATTAGCTATTAACCATCATCACTATTAATATATTCTAGTGACTGTCCTGAGTTACATTATCTAATCTAATCTCGAATCCTCTGAACATGACATTCACTCTCCTTTAGATGAGGAAATAAAGCTCAGACTGGGGATCAAACTCTAAGCGTGTCTTGCTCTAAAGCCTAGGCTGTTTTCTGCTCTGTACTCTTGGAGGCATCTGGTGCCCAGTACAGTGCTTAACACACTGTAGTGAGTAACCACATTGACTTTGCTTTTATCAGCTCTTTGCAAAAAGGAAATTAAGTGTTTGCAATTAATTAGTGCAAGTTGCCCACAGTGATCTAGATTGGTATGTTTTTCTTTAGTCTCAGCTCTGCAGCCCACAGTCTAGGAGCTGAACTTTAAGGTGGTCCATACCTGTCCCTATAGGATCTAACTCTGGCAACTTTGGGTTGCCTCTGCAGAGAGGCTCGGTGCCAGGGATGAGTGGAGAGACCTCTTGACTTGATGCCTCTCTTGGCTAGGCCTAGGGCAGACTCACGGTTTAGCTCTTCCTTGCAAGGTCCTTGGCTGGGAACTTGGCCTTGTGCTCAGTACAAATGTGCACTGTAATGTGTTTTAATGGATGAGTAAGAAGATACTCCTCCCACCCTCTCTCCGTAAAGTTGCCAGACTAAGTCCTTGGGCTGTGGACTAGAAACCCAAAGGGAGCTGGGCGTGGTGGCTCATGCCTGTAATCCCAGCACTTTGGGAGGCTGA